TGTAATTTTTTGACATGCGCGTAGCGTGGTTCTGGGGTAAATTGGGGATGGCTCCATATCAGAAAATGTTAACCTTATAGAGGTTAGTAATCCTGGAAAGTTTCATGTTTTTATCACAAAACGAACAATTCTGGTTATTTTTGGCTCTTAATAGCAGGACTATAAGAATCATTAAAACTCGTTTCCTTTTCTTCAATTGGCAGTGTGAATTTAACCTTTCTTGATTCAAAATTTGAGCAGGATTGTCGTTTGTCCCCTTTGTCCATTTGAAGTTCCCTTTGGTTAACTCTTTCTCTCTAGCCTCTTTGATTGAACGGAAGAGTTTATTGCATTTATGATTCAGCTGGGAAATATACTTTAAGGCTATATAGACTGGATGGCGCTTGCAACGATATGAAAGACCACTGTTCGAAATATTTCCAAACGTGTCGAGTGGGACTATTGCAAAATAAAAGCTACTTATGAACACTGCTGCATGGAGGATCTGATCGCACTTAGAGGTAAAACGACCTGATTTAGAGAGAAAAAATTCTCCTTTTTATTCCAAATTAAAAAAATAAACACCTAGTTTTTCTTGGAGGTGAATAACAGAGGATATCTGGAGTTTTAGTACCCAATAATCACAACGCCATTATAGCTTCAGCCATATCAATTCAACTCTACATTTCCCATAATCAAACACGTCTCCTAAATGGCTTGTTTTCGTGTTGTGGACGCAGCATGTATACCTTACCTGCAACAATAGTGTATTGCTCTTTGGTATAATTGAAACAATGGGCCGCTGACACAATCCACTGCGGGCCCACAATCGAGCCTCCACACCAATGAGTGTGATTGTAATTAAACTTCACTTGCCATGGCCAAGCTCCTGGTTGAGCCTTAGTGCCTCCAACGATTCTGGAGCTTCGAGCCTTTGTACCACATTTGACATTTCCTATTTAAGATTTTACAAACAGGAAGTTGAGTTTGTTTTCTCAGTTGGAACGGCAACAGCTCCAAGTGTTTCTGTTCTTAGCTATTTATCTTTCCCACATACTAAATACAACTTTGTTTTGGTCTGCATTCATACTTTCTTTCTTACATTGTTTTACTCACTTCACGTCTTTGAATCACAATTCGGACGCTGTATCTAAATATCCGATGGCTTAAGTGGTGGTTTGCAACCTTATGCTCCAGTCACAGGAGGGAGGAGGGATCATGAGTGAGTGTTGCAGGTAGTTTAAGAGATCATTTTAAAGAAGACGTAATTTTACCAGAAAAAAAGAACTCTGAGACCTTGCAATTTTCAGTTTAATTACAGCGGTTATAAATCACGCGCGACCTTCAGTCTAGACAAAACCTAAGTTTTGGTGGACGTCAATCATCTTCGCCGCCTCCTTGCTGACTGCATGCAAAATTAACAGAAAAAAAGTCTGAAACCTTGCAGCGGTCCACTCGTAAAAATTATCATTTTGCTTTCAGTATGTACTGCCAGCTCACTAAATATACATTGGCATTAAATATTCCTTGAAATGCAGGCGGGTCGGGTTTTTCAACGGTCATTCGCATGCATGAATGACTCCCAGATCGTGTCGGGTTAAGAAAAAGAAAACATAGCTTAAATTGCAAATACTCTACTCAAATTGATGTTTCTCACCTATGTTCATCTTGCAGCATTTGAACCATTCAAAACAGTAGAGTCTGTCACAGCCAAATAGTAACCATCTTTCTTGCACTTGCTAAGTCCACTTTTGTCAAATGAACTCCCTACATTCTCGTTATAGCAATGTTCGTATCTATCTGGAAGTGCGTTTGGTTTACAACATTTGGCCTCTTCGATGTTATGTAACCAATCACCATCAGTCTGGTAGAAACCTTGGACAAAGTAACCATTTGGACAAACAGCCCATGTGTTCGTGCTAACAAGAACAAATATTAGAAAGAGGACTGGATTACATAATATTTGAATATCCGCTGCCGAGACATGGTACCTTGGATAATGTTAGATAACGATTGCAGTACCGGTGTTAAGAATAAGAACAACGTAATGAAGCTAGCGTACTCACTAATCAAGGGCTGCCCACCAGTTGGTGTTTTTACACGACGATGACGTGTCCTGATTCGGAGGAAGAGCAGGACAACATTTTGCTTTCTCCAGTAAACGGATCGTGTCGCTGAATCCCGTATTAGTATTCCTCCAAATCCCAGTAATATAATGCGTCGACGAGTCACACTGAATCCAGCCTTTCTTGTCAAAGCCTCCCCACCAGGTGGCAAGCTTGCAGCCGTCGTACATGCTGCAACATTTGAACGCTTTGATGCAGTACAGTTTGTCGTAGCCTCCCCTGTGGATACCTGTCAGGTAATAACCGCTGTCGTGCAGTTGCTCCAGCCTATGTTGTCGAAAGATAATCTGACCCTGTGGTATTCATAACAGTGGAGATAACTACTAGGCAAGTTTGTGGGTTTACAACAGCGGCCTTCCTCGATGTTGTGAAGCGAATCATCCTGGGTACGGTACAGTCCCTGAATAAAGTATCCGATTGGACAAACCGCCCAGTGGAAATTCCTGATGAATACAAGATAAGTTGATTTAAGAGGCTATGGCCAAAACGGACATGTTATTGTGTGTACTGAACCATGTCACTACGTAGAAAGATCTTATGACTCCTCTTTTCTTGCGATTGTAACAGACAGCGAGTTCACACTGCTTGTAAATTACCTCTGTCATTTTTTCGTTTGATTCAAGATTGTATCCCAAAACAGCACAAAGAGTTTGTTGAATTCGTTGTATTGAAAAGAATTTAGAGATAAAACATTTGCAGAGTCCTTCTCAGGCTAATTGCATTTGTCCCAACCGAAATAATTAAAAACTGAAACTTCGTTAAAAAGTTTCCTGGTTCCAGGTCCCTTAAGCGGTGTTCATTTTTAATAAAATCATGCCCAACACATTTTAAATTTAAGTTTCTTAATAGTTATAAATTTTAACTGATTTCACTAACCTGTCAAACTCCACCCACCAGTTCGCATTCGTACAAGTTGATGCTCTGTCTTGGTTTGGCGCAGGAGCCTTGCAACACCTCGCTTCTTCCAGCTGGTCAATTGAGTCAGAAGCAGTCCTGGCATTTCTATCCTACAAACCGGTCACATACTCGGTATTTGAGTCACAAGTGGACCATCCCTTTTTGTCAAACGATCCTCGCCAATTCGTCGTTCTGCATTGACTCCAACAGGTATCCGCCATCAGCAAAATAATCAACAAGGCAAGGTTCAGTTTCATGGTAGTTCCCAAGCCGCCTCGCTGTACCTGTATGTCACACAGACTCAATTAAAATGACTCTAAAATTGTTTTTACATCCTTCATTCCACCATTTCATTTTGCACTTTTATGTCGTCCCATTTCAATTTGGCACCTGATTCCCTTTTACTTCTTGTTTGACATTCCCCAAGTAACGCGTAATATTACGTAATCTATTGTACCTCCCATTGTACCTTTCCGTGAAAATGAATGAATACACAACCCCGGCCCGCTATTTGGAAATATATACGTTGGGTCTCAAGGGAAATGCAAAATAGTTGGAGATGACAGGGCTTTAGACAGCCGTTGGTGAACTGTTTTTAAAGGAGCTACGGCACGGCTGCACATCTTGAAAAGTTTATAGCTTAAATTTTTCAAGTTCGTAATCCGCGTTAATCTTCTCCATCCTTTACCATCCTTGGCCCTTTATGGTTTATTATTATCTCTTTGGTGTTTTTCTATCTTAGTAAACTGTTTTTTTTTTTGTTTTTCTTTTTTCAGGTTTCCTTAAATTTCAAGGTAATTTTGTACGGGGGCCAAAGTAACTCAAAATAACGCGAGTGAGCTCCTTTAAATAATCATTCTAACTACACTCATACGAGACATTCAATGTGAAAAGTTTACTGAGGATGCGTCAGTCAGCCATCAGATTCAATATTTATCTCACAAATTTAGCTAATGGTTCCGAGAATTAGAACCTGTACTACGCCAGATACGAAAAACCACTAAAAAGCCACCCAAAAGAATATTTTCCTCATCTAATGCAGCAGCAAGAGATTCCGAGGAAAGCGTATTCTACAATTATTTACACACGCTGATCAAATCGAAACATAATCATGAAAAATAAGTGGGCGAACACTACGACTAACCGACCTATAATGACTTAAATCTCCCACCAAAAAGCCTTAAATAGCCCCTAAGTATCCTTTGTTGCGCCGCGAGTCTCTCCAACGTGCCGTCAGAATAATAATTTCCGAGTCATTCGTCCCTCAATCGTCAGATATTACATTTTCTACCGTGGGTATGAGTTCCGGAGAAAAGATCTTTCAGTGTGAAAGTTTACCATAAGAATTATTGCTTATGGTAGTTTTTCCTCTTTGAAGCAGAAGTGTTTTACTTTTTTTTTTTAACGAAAAGGGTAATTTCATATTACGCCAAGGTTAGCTCATATTGATCATCATTTATTGCGAGAGCTGTATAAAATTAACAAATACACGAAAGTGCCTTACTTCAATAACATGACGAGTGCAGTTTCGTTTTAACTAACAAGTTCCAAGTTTCCACCGATGTGAACATCGATCATTCTGAACAATCCAAACCCTACTTCGAGCCTTTGACTTTTGCCAAGCTAAGATGCTTACTAAAACTTGAGTATTTTGACTTTGTTTTGCTACATTTTGACTGAGTTTCTTGGCTTTGTTTGGCTACATTTTCATTAAACTGATTGTGGTGTGTTTTTAACAAGCCCACAGGATGCTTTGTTTTCCTTCACCGTGCATCGTGAACTTTACAGTAAATCACAAATAAAGCTTGTTTTAGCGCCCAAGTTGCTATCGCTATGTTATAAAAGAATCAGTTCATGCTTTTAGCTGTGCGTATATCGAGTTATGGGTGCACTTGGGAAGTTTGGGGAGCACTCAAGAAGCTAGAGTTACGCCCCTCTCGTGCTCTCTAGACATCCCGCTTGCATCATAACACAATTGCTATATGCGTGCGCTTAGCATGAACCAATTCTTTATTTTTACGTATAGTATAAACTGAAAAATGCAGTAACCTCTGACAATATCGACCCAAGGTATATATTTCCAAGCACCCTACAACAACAAGTTGATTTATCATCTCCACCCTCAATTGCATATCACACCTGTGGTAGACTTGCACGTATGTCATATACTTTGGCACTGAACTTAAGCGATTTTTCCTTAACTGACTTATTTTAGCGCCCGGTTAGAAAGCTATCATTTGCGAGCTGAGGTAGTTTGAACATTCAGTTTTGCTTGAATTCTTAGTATTTGGTTACAAATTTATAAGGCCTGTTTATTGATAGCTGTTTAAGTTATAGTTAACAAATTAAGAAGCCTAAGCCGTGTATTACACTGTGATCTACATTTCTCTGTGATCTACATTTCTCGAGTGTTCTCCAATGTCCCGTGTTTTATCACAGTGTAATATACGGCTTAGGTTCCTTCATTTGCTTTATGATATAGAGGTAATGTAGTGAAAAACAATAGAAGACGCTTTTTCTGTGTTTTATACTCTGATAAAACATGGGTTTTTGACCAATCAGAGCGCGCGCAGGGTCCTATCTATATTTTAAAAACAATTAAGAAACGGTTATGTATAAGAGTAACTGTTGCGCTAAATGTAGTTGGAAAAGACACTTAAATTGACCAAGAGATCTGCCGTTTGGATTGTTATCCCTTCACAGACAGTGGCCTACAAATCAAGTTTACTTCCCTCGATTAAGCTGTTCGTATAGTCATAAGCAGCTGTTTAATCAGCTTGTCTGTGGTTGTTGTGAATATTAAGGTTTTTTATTAAATAAAATTGAATTTCCTTACCTGCGCTGTTGTGTCTTCCATTACAAATGTGTTACGTTTACCGTTCATTTTCAACCATCAGCGCACCGGTTGGAAGTTCTTTCGTTTCTGCTTTTTTCTTACTATCTTTCTGCTATTATTTTTGGTCGTCGACTTCCGTTGAGGCCGATCACGCAACGGGAAAATATTAGCTAAGAGTTTAAGAGCTGGTTATCAAGCTTCTTGAAGTCGTAATGACACGTTCAATTTACTATTTATAGAGTGAAATAATGTTTTCGCTGTGTGATAGAGGCATTTTGAGAGTCGTCGTAGAAGCGATACGATATCATTTCCCGGGGAATCTACCATAACACTTCCCGGATTGTATTTTCTAATCAAATATCTCTTTACAAATTGCTTAGACCAATCGGGTTGCATGTTTTATCTGGGCTGACGCCAACTTTGACGCGAGCACTCGCTTTCCAGTTTTTTCTTGAGTGAAATTGCGGCTTCGGCCAGATTTTTTTTACCAAAAAAAACAAAAATGTTGTGCAAATAACAAGTCAAGACTTGGTGCTGTGCAAGGCTTTGTTAAGGCCATGGAAAAACAGCCAACAGCAACAACAAACATAGAAGCTTGAAGTGTAGAAGGCACAAGAGACCACAAGGCCTGGATGCCTGTTTACTGAAGTTTATTCTATTTCTGCAAAAGAAGGTTGAACTTGTTGCGAACCACTATCTCCACTTGCAGCAGGCATCGAAAGATATCTGAACAATAAAAACTATGGATATGATATTACCCCCCCCCGGGGGGGGTGTACTCCCAGAAAAATCAGGCAGGGGTGTACGGCCCGCTTCCCAAAACCCTTACCTTATCTATGACCATAGTCTGCGACATTCCCTACCCTATTTATGACCTGACCAAAACTGCGAAACCCTATTTATGACCTAGCCCTTAAATCAAAACCCTGTTTCAGACCCGCGTTATAATTAGTTCCCTAGTTCAGACCAATGTTAAATTACCGTAAACATAATTTGTGAAGGGCTTTT